TGCAGGCGGTTATTTGCGAGCTCTGATAAATATACATCAGGCATGCCCATAGCAGGGTACTTGCTTATGGAATTCTGCCAGCGTTGGACATGACTGATATACATATTTATGTATGTACTAGGGATGTTTCGAATGTCATATTTTTCACGCGAATGCGAACGCGACTTTTCGGAATGTGAATGTGCGAATGTGAATGCGATTATAAGGAACAAATGAATGTGTTCTTCACTGCCGGAAAACTCAACGTCTCTGCCGTGAACTCCTCCGATACACTTTAAACCACACGGAATTAAGAGATTAGGCTTGAGCTCGGCGCCATCTACCCCAAAAAATCTTGAGAGTCGCGTTAAACAGACTCTCCACTTCTAGCGCACTTTTCCGCAACATATAAAAGAAATCCTGGAGAGAAACTCCTGTTATAATTTGGGGGGCTTACGTAACTCCTAACCTAGATTCCAAGCACACCCAGCCTTATACGAAAGAGTTGCGTGCACTGCACCTAGTCGATACCCACTATCCGGCTTGGACTGTTTGAGGCTGACCTATGTGCCAATACTGTGGAGAGAAGCCAACGTTGTCTTTATACCCAAAGCAGGCAAGAGCAACCCAGTTTTCTCAAAGGAATACAGTCCCATAAGTTTGGCCTCATTCCTCCTAAAAAGGTTGGAAACAATTCTTGCCACCCACGTCAAGGAAACTCCGTCCGTATTTTCAGAATAATTCCGAACAGTGTACATACTAATTGTACCTTTTCAACCCTTTTATACTTCAAAAGTACAATTTTTCTCAAATTAAGTAGATACAATTTGAATATCGCTACCCCAGAGTAAAAAGTTGCTAAGTCCACTTTGTATGAAAACTCATGTTTTGATATAGGAAGGAAGGGACATTAAAAATGCATCGTTTCAAAAAGGGTAAAGGTACCTATTTTATTTATTTTCGTTTATAATTAACAACAAAAAAATTTGCTAAGTCCAAACGAAGCACCGAAAATCGGATAAGGCCAAAATAGTACGAAGTCTTTGGATAAAGATCAAATTCCTCTTGATTCATATGGAGTTTTGTTTTTCTTTGAACAGGCAAAATGTTGTATTCAAAGTTTTGCGAAATACTTGAAGAAAATTGCTATAAGAAGTTTTTTTTCATCTCCTGTACAATTTTTTAAAATGTAACTTAGCAACTTTTGACTCTAAGCTAGAGCGATATTAAATTTCCCATCCCTGATTCAGAAGACTTTCATAGAAGAATTAAAAAGTTTCTTGCATTTATCGAAGTTATACTCATTTTTGGGGAACAAAAAACCAACATTTTCAAAAACAGATTTGTTTTTGATAACACCACTCGGAGATGAGTTAGGTTCATGGTATATAGAAAGAATATAGAATTCTCCCAGTATCGGCGTTGCTTCTACATATTTCTTTGGCGTTTGTTAATTTGTGATTTCTATCTCAAAATCAAATTTTCTATATGTACTATAATAAAACTGTAGATTGTTTGTCTGTTTGAACTCACTAATTTCCGGAACTGCCGAATGGATTTTCATGGGGCTTTATATAGAGAGTGACCTCGGAAGTAACCTAGGGTATGAAAAAATTAGATGTGACAAGGAGCGTGGCAGCTCCCATACGCGTGACATTTTTAATCAGCTACAACTTCTTAACAATAATTGAAATTCCGCTCTGCAGGGTATAATATACTTTTGCAAAACAATGGTGCCGACAGATGGCGCCGGATTCGAGATATTTAGAGAACCCCTCTTTATCGTCTGACCTGCATTAATGGGTATTTACTTTATGATAAAAAGTGATTCTGCAAAAAAAAAATGGACTCAAAACATAGATGGCGCTGAAATCACGATATTTAATAACCCCTTCACAAATTTTCATTTTAGATGACTTAAAAAAGCCCCATTCTTTAAGTAGGCATACAAAGAACCACAAAATTGTTTATGCTCCACAGATGTCCTAGGCACATTAACGGGTTATCGGTATATCAAGAAGAAGTTTGCTGAATTAGAGAGAGCACGTAAAATACGAACAACAAACGGGGTAAGTACTTACGTGCTTGAAGTCAGTCAAGAAAAATCACACATGCTTTTTATGCAATTTTAATATTACTTTTATTTTATATATTTTTTTTAAGTATTTTTATTGTTAAATTTATTGCATGCACAAAAATGTTAATCGTTTTAGTTGTTTTTTTTTTTTTGGTCTTGCTCTTGTTTTTATACATATTTTAATATATATTTATTTATACCTAAATGTAGTTAGTTTAATGTGTATGTATGTATGCTTTCCATTTAATTTTTTTCTTTCTACAATCTTTGAGTTTTTATATTTTTTTTATTTTAACTACTATTTCTTAATATCAGTTACTTTATTTATTCTATAAATATTTTATCTAAATATTTTATTTTTTTGTAAGTAGTAATTTTTTGTCTGTTATCTGTTGTCTAACAATTTGCATGCACTGTTTCGCTAGAATGTCTTGCATCTAACGCCATAACTTTTAACTAAAAACTATAGCATAATTCTACATACATACATACATGTGAAGAATAAACTGTATTTCAATGTTCAATGTTCAGCATTTGATGAAAAATGTTATGGCAAAACAAAATGCGTTAAAGACCACAAAAAAAATGCATCTCACTTATTACTGTGGCACGATCAGCTGATCAACAAGGGTCTAATATGTTTTCCAAAATTATGAGATTATTTAAATTTTTCGGAAAAAATTAGTAAAATGCCAGACCGCTTTAGAGTCGCTCCGAAATTCCAGCACTGGTACTTCGCATTTTATCGATTATTTTTGTACATAAATATTTTAGTCATTTATTATTAAATTTTATTATTACAACATACTTTTTTTGCTTAGAGTATTTTACAGCACTTCTGTAAATCCTTACGAAGCGCAANTTTATTCTACATATCAAATAAAGACATCCACGAAAATTTCAAAATTTTAAACAAACGTTTGGGAGTAGCTGCCAGGGTTAAAAAAAATTTAAACTTTTTATGTAGCGGAAATTCGACAAAACCTTGAATTGCTAATAAATGATTAACATATTATTGAAACATATTCATATAAATTCATAAGCTCATGATTTTGTCGAAGTTTTGCGATTTTCAAAAAAAGAAAAATTACATTTTTTAAACCCTGGTAGCGACCTCTATATTTTTTAATTAGGAAATTTCCGTTGTTTTGTATGTACAATAAAATAAAGCGGTGGCACCCTAAAATGTATGTATGTAAAGTTTTTATATGACGCACAATAACGTTAATTTGGCATTAAAATATGTGCTTACAGTAAAGCCCGCTTAATTGCAACCGACGAAAAAAAATATAACGAGTACTTCCATAAACTATATACGGCATGAATGATACTAAAATTCCATTTTTTTTTTGCACAATTTACATAATTGGTAGAAAAAATAACTTTTGTATTGAGCTTTTCTCCACTTTTCTTGATTAATAGCCAAAGTTTTCAAACACACACATTTCACAAGTGTTAGATATTTCAATAATCTCATCTTTAAATCGCTGTGGCCTCTGATGTGCATCCTGATGAGTTTGCCGGGATTTTCCGTAACTATTAAAAGCGCTCTCAAAATCCTTCTTGAGTCAAGTGAAATTTTCTGGTTGATTTTTATTCAGAACTTTTATTTTATCATATAAACGAATTTGTGCCAAAGAAAAAATGTTATAATTATAAAAATGGTCTTGTCTCGTTCTAAAGGTGGTATTTAGGGTTATATTTTTCAAATATTAAAAAAAAATCCAAAATTATAAAATTTACAGAATTTAAACATGTTTTGGCAGCATTTTTCTTTTGTATAAAATGCCTCCAAATGATCTTTTAAGATCTTGAAATTTAAAAGAAAGTGTTTTTTTCAAAGATATTATTAAAGAATTTGTCTTGGAGTTCACTTAAACATTTTATTTTCAAAATTTCTATAATTTTTAGTTTTAGATTTTTTAAATAAAAAATTTTGTAAGCTTTTTATTTTCCGATTATTTTTTAAATATACATTTAAAAAGAGACCATAATAGTTTTCAAGATATTCGAAAAATAATTTAATTTTGAAATTTGTTATTTTAGCAAACTCTAAATTAAGTTTTGTTAACCAACTTTTATTTAACTTAAATTTATTCCTAATTTACATTTTGCAAACAAAAATTTCAAAGTTCAAAAATTCTTTAAAAACAATTTCTTGAAAGTTTTATAATCTTTTAAGATCAGTTAAACGTATTGTATGTACATAAAAAATTGAGCCACAAATTTTTAAATGTTTTCGTTTTAGGTTTTTCATAATTCAATATATTATTTTTTTTTACTTTTAGATTTTTTTTTTTAATATACTTTTAAAACGAAGCCATACTAGTTTTTAAGATATTCCAAAAATAATTACTAGAAGGTTGTTTTTTTATAAAAGATAAATTTATGAACTTAAATTTTTTTCCAAGCTCCGAATTAAGTTATGTTAAGTAATTTTTATTTAATTTAAATTTAAACACATTTTTTTTCTAAGTTCAACAATTAAAAAAAAGGTAAATAACATTTTGCCAAACATTTGTTAAGCTTTTGTTTTTAAGATGTTTTTGTCGAGTCGTTCCAAACGTATTATTTGTATTCTCGAGGAAGTGTGTTTTACAGGTAGATAGCCCACATTGTATGAAGAATTGACGTCAGACAGGGTGGTTCTCCTCCGCGCAAGCTCGTCTGCTGTGCAGTTACCTTTTATTTCTCTGTCACCAGGCACCTACACAATGTGGGTAGTAGACTTTGGAGCTAAGTTCTTGAGGACTTTTTTTACATTCTATAGCGATTTTTGACGAGGTTTCACAGTAATCCAGTGACTTAGTAGTTGCTTGGCTATTGGAGTATATGGTTAATGAAGGCAGATTAAGGGAATATTCGATGAGCCAAAGTGCAGCCTCTTTTATGACCCTGAGCTCTGCTTGGAAGACACTGAAATGGTCTGACCGCGGAAGGTAGAGGTCTAGTGAGAGGTATTTCAGGTATAACCCACTCAATATGCTTAGCCCGTCCGAATAGGCGGCTATAAAGTTATTTTGGAGACCCCAGACCAAATCGTTCTCTCAGTCCTTGTGGACTTGTGTGGAGAACTTGGTCTCAAAATCGAGAGGCGCTGTTGTGTAGTCTGGAGACCTAAAAGTATCGCAGTAGTTAGTTCGAATGTTGTTATGACCGAACCTAGTATCTTTCCATTTTGACAGTACCAGGTCAATGTTCTGTACAAAATGACGCTCAAATATTTCACTTCATTTACGTCATTTATGTTGGAAGCATACTTTTTGAGCAGTGACTCTGCGTACGCTTCTGGGAGGATGTTATTAAAGGCTCCTCTACATCTAGAAAAAAGTCTAATGTTAGTTTCTTGGAAGCCAAGGATTTCCGATATCAGAAACGACTTTGTGAACAGATTTGTCCTTTGAATTGAAGTGACGGCAGTCAGATAGCTCACTTGAGTTCATCTTTCGCTAAATAAATGTATCCATAATCCATTCATGGATTTTTAGAAAGAAAGAAGAAAATGGTTAGGCTTCACATGAGAGGCTCTGGTTCCCTTAGGTATGAAAATGACCTCGGCATTGAAGTGACAAAAAATATCGCGCTGAAATGATTTTTGTTGCCAACTTTGCCATACAAATGTTGGTCATTTAATGAATAGTGGAAATCAAGTATAAGGTATCTTTTTGGTCTTTGCTGGGATTCCTAAAAGAGATTTAACATCTTATTAGAGAAGTAATCCTTACTTTTATTCATTATTCGATTTGCCATTGGGTTGTTTGCAATTAAGCAGAGCCCACTGTAATAACATTCCTGCAAGTACTTATATAAAAGATGTTGCCAATTAGCTGATTAGTATGTATTAGAATAAATATTAAGCATATTTTTTAAGAACAAATTAAATTTTTAGTCCTCAATTAGAGTGCTAAGATTTATTTACAATGATTTTCCTTTACACTAATATTTATATTAGATATAACATTAACTGTAACACGTTTAATGGCTTAAATATTTGCGTAAGGAATCAATATTTTGGTTATAACACGAGTACACTAACAAAAAAAATCAGTCACATTCAGAATATTATTTTTTAAGTTTTAATCAAAATTCAAAATAAATGCTTAATTGTTGATTGCATGAAAACATGGCAATAAATAACATTGACACTGGCAAAATTAGTTGATTGCTTAGTATAATTAGTAGAATTATAATACTGTTATTAAATATATATATCTTCTTTTATATAACTAACATTTACGTTGGGTATAATTTGACAGCGTCAACAACACCCATTTATTTCAGCTTATGGCGAGACTCTCAGTGCTGCCATTCTTTTGTTACCCATTAAATCTCGGCGCTGCCGCGCAAATAGCTACCACTTGTGCTGCGGCCACTACGCGTCGTATCAGCGCCGACGCCATGCCCTCTACTACTGCCACCGGTCTGTTTATAGCGCGGTGCTGCTTCACCGCCGTCTACTGCCGCCTCTATTGTTTGCTGCTTTTTCGGTGTTGCAGGCGCTGCGTACTTACGACTAGCTGCGCGCTGATAACGGCGCGCTTGCACTGCCAAATCGTCGAGCAGCAACTCGTTTGTCGACTTAGTGCGCCGCTGTGAGAGGTGTGGTCGCGGTGCGCCATTTACAGCATTTACGCCACCGCTGGCGCTGTTCGATTGTACTCGCACGTTTATGGGTGGCGGTGGCGCTGGTAATTTCTTCTTCGCCTTATCTTTATCTTGATGCAAATTTAGTTGACGCACAAACGATTGACTTAGTGTGGAGCCGCGTAGAAAGTCCTGATCGGCGGCATCGTTAACCACGGGGCGTTCTTCGGTGGCTTCACCCTCGCCCAACTCACGGTACAAATCTAATTGTGGTGGATATTTATGCAACGCATGCGTCATCTGCTCGATACTCAGCTGGTCTTGCTTGAGTAGGCTGTCTGAAGGCATTTTGGCGAAGGGACGCTTTGCTTTAAACTGCGACGCTTTCAGACGATCGAAGAGATTATGAAGCGTAGTGGAACGTTGCTTTAGTTTGGCAAGCGGCGTTATAGTGCGCTTGCGCGCCGAAGATGGCGCTGTATTCTTTATTGCGGAAGCTTTTAGTATTGCAGCTGGTGGCTGTGGCGGTGGTGCCTTTTTCAGTAGCGGTAACTTCATTGGTGTGCTCCCAGGACAGTCTAGATTATTGACACGGCTTGANCTGCTTGAGTAGGCTGTCTGAAGGCATTTTGCCGAAGGGACGCTTTGCTTTAAACTGCGACGCTTTCAGACGATCGAAGAGATTATGAAGCGTAGTGGAACGTTGCTTTTGTTTGGCAAGCGGCATTATAGTGCGCTTGCCCGTCGAAGATGGCGCTGTATTTTTAATTGCTGAATCTTTTAGTATTGCAGCTGGAGGCTGTGGCGGTGGTGCCTTTTTCAGTAGCGGCAACTTCATTGGTGTGCTCCCAGGACAGTCTAGATTATTGACACGGCTTGAGTTGAGCGATTTGAAGACATCGTCGTCCAGCTCGCTAAGGCTGACCAATTGCTCTTCTCCACCAGCAGTGTTAACCTCTTCTTCATCATCGTCGACGCCGCTATAGCCGGCAAATATCTCATCGAAAGCGGCATTCACAATAAAGGTCTCATCGTTTTCAATACTCAAGTCATTGTTCTCGCGTTCTTGACTGCCACACGCGCTATTATAATGCGCACCAGCGTTTGCGTCACCGCTCACGTCATTGCTGCTGCTCATCGCAAAATGCAGCATTGGCGCGCGCCCTCGATTTGCCAATGTGCCAAAAAGATTTTTGCGATAATCATCATCCATATGGCAAAATTGTTGCGCCAAATCATCGTCAACATTTGCGGCGCGCGTCATTTGCTCCGCGCGCTGCAGACTCAAAGTGCTGCGCCGCTTAAACGGACTGCCATCAGCTGCCACTGCAATGCCGCCACTGCTGTCAGCGGGCAGCGTTTGTACGCTACAACTGCTAGCAAGTTTTTGTGTAGCGCGCGAGCGCTTGTCTTTACAACCACCACTGCTGCCAAAGGCGGCTAGCAGCTGCTCTTTACTCAATTGTATTAGACGCTGACGCGATTCGTGTGATTTACGTTTGAGTTGATGGTATTTACTGTTACTGGTGCCGTGCTGTGATGCGCGTGACGCATGTGTGGGCGTGTCATATGTATAAGTGGTCGTGTGCACTGCGCTTGTGAGCAACGGCATATTGTACTTACTTTGTTGTTGTAGTTGCAGCTGTTCTCGCTCCCATTGCTGCTGTTGTTGCAGTGCCCAGGCGCGCTCTTTGGCACGCTCTTGATCGGCTAGTTTACGTTGCAAGGCGAGCGTTTCAAAAGTGTGCACCATACTGCCGACATGGGAGCGCACCTCTGGTATGCCCAAGTCGCCGCTGAAGAGATCCCGTTGATGCCGTTGCTGTGCAGTTAATAATTCACCACCACTGGCGCGCTTATTGATCGTAGTTATGGTTGTGCCTTTCTTATAAAGCGCGCCAGCGGAAGCGCTAGGACGAAGTGTGCCATGTGGGCGACGACGTTGAGGGAATCGTTCTATGAATTCGGTGGCTTCTCGCTGCCAAAGAAGTTCACCATCGAGTGAGCGCGTGGCAGTGGTTGTTTTTGTTGTTGTAGTTTTTGGCTTGAATTGCGTAGCGAATGTTGTTGTTGTTGTAGTTGTTGTTGGTGGTGTTGTGGGCGTAATGTGTGTGTTTTTATNAATGTTGTTGTTGTTGTTGTTGTAGTTGTTGTTGGTGGTGTTGTGGGCGTAATGTGTGTGTTTTTATGTTGAAGAAGTGTATGTAAGTTGTGTAGATAGGCGAGCCCAAGCGGCGAACATGAAAGTATGTAATGAAGTAGAAAACAGCAAATTAAAATGAAAGCCAAAGAAAAGAAAGCGGAAAACGCAAGAAGTGAATTAGAAAGTATTTTATCTAAAACAAAAAAGAATGAAGCTGGTTTTTTATGAAGTTCACAAAAGATCAAAGAAAATTGCTTAAGAGAAAGTTGGAATACATNGTGTTTTTATGTTGAAGAAGTGTATGTAAGTTGTGTAGATAGGCGAGCCCAAGCCGCGAACATGAAAGTATGTAATGAAGTAGAAAACAGCAAATTAAAATGAAAGCCAAAGGAAAGAAAGCGGAAAACGTAAGAAGTGAATAAGAAAGTATTTTATCTAAAACAAAAAAGAATGAAGCTGTTTTTGTTTATGGAGAGGCAATAAAGTTCACAAAAGATCAAAGAAAATTGCTTAAGAGAAAGTTGGAATACATGTTTCCTTTGATTAAAGACGTCAGATGCAAATTGAGAAGACTGATTTTTGACCGATTCGAGCCGAAATAGAAAAAAACGATAAAGGAGAAAATTGAAAAAATTTGGAAAGTAATGCAAAAAAAAAAATAAAAAATTTGACTTATAACTACGGTGACCATCCATACTAAGTATACTTTATTTATTTTTCTAAAAATCTATCTTACCCCTTGTTTCAAAACTTGTTCTTTTAAAATAAATTTTTGTTACGATATCAGACGTCTAGTAGATAAAAATCTTGAAGAAAGAGCAGAGAATACCAAAATGTTAGAAATGCCATTCTTGTCAATTAATTTCTCGAACTCTCGAAATAAAGACTGTGCAAAGCTCATTTTGTTCTACTGGTAATATCTTGCGGTGGGTTGAGTTCAGTTGACTGCCACTCAGTATAGGAAATGTAAAGAGTCACACTTCAGCGAGAGCCCCCAGAGAGCAGAGTGACCTGCTGTGTACCACATCTACATTCTCATCTAAAGGATCCATTTACCTACCTCGGAGCTAATGGAGCATCGATCAAGACGAACTAGACACTCAGTTTGTGACTCACCTTGCTTGTGGTGGTTGTCGTGTTCAATAAAAACAGATCTGAGCCATATGTTGTTCGTTTGAAGACAGTTTAGTTCCGCTCCATGTCAGATCGTCCAGGAATATTTCTGTGCTCAGGATGGCAGATTAAATCATTTGTGCATCACGTACCCAATTCGATTAGATTCGTTCTTCCTTGATTTGCTACCTTCGAAGAGGTATTGTTGCTATGTAGATATTAAATCGAAGCCTGGTTTTCAGAATGGAAGGTGATAGAGTAGTCTATTACAGGAAAGAAGCCATCTTTATATCTCTTAATTCAGCTTGAAAGACCCCACAGAAGTCTAGCTAAGGGGCATCGCAAAAAGCGCCGAGAGCTTTGCTGTTCGAGGACGGAAAGTCACTAGTGATAAGCCCAAATTCGATGGAAAATCTGGACAGATAATTTATTTGGAAATTAGGCGCCGGTGACAGGTAACAAGATCAACGGAAATAAGGTCAATTGACTTTATTTCCTACCCTGGTGCGAAATAAAGTCAATTGACGTTATTACCTTTTCAAAGGCGAAATAAAATCCATTGACATTATTGCTCTTTCAAACATTAAATTTGCTTAGCTTCGTGGCGGTGGTTCAATTACTAAAACGCACTCGGTGGTTCAATTACTATTAACAGTAAAGATAGCTTTTATTTAGAAAAGAGCAAAGCAAAACATATGTGTTCAAAGTTTTTTTAGAACAAAAGTAAAACAAATAAAAAATCGATAAAAAATTCACATTAAATGATTGATTTTCTTCTGCTATTCGGATTTGAGCAGTGCTCTTGCTTGTGTAGCCGATAAGATATGCCAATTGCCACTTGGGATCCCCATGGTTCAAGCTTGCGCCCCTCCGAGTGTACTTCTGTCATAAAAAAGCTTCATCGGACGTCGAGTAAAAGGGTACATCTTTCCATTTGTGTCACAACAGCAAGAAGCAGAACACGAATCGTAGGAGAAGATTGGCCAAACACATAGAAAACGTTTAAGCGCAAAACATTCATTTATTGGAATCAAATGTTATTTACTGTTCATCCCAAATAACACAGGAAAAATGTTGAATCTATTTCCCTTAAAGTGGAAAAGAGCCTTGAAAACTTCGAAAAACTCAAAACTTTAATTAAGAAGTCTAAACTTGTATGAAATGAAAAAAAAAACGTTTTTCGGTAAAAAATCCGGTTTATACGACTTGAGAAAAACGTTAAAAAATAAAATGAAAAAGTCAAAATTTGAAAAAGGTTTTTCGTATATTTGCATAGTAATTGAATAGTCCTTTATACAGTAAAAATATGACAAACTGAACTGAACTGAAAGCTTACAAACCTGCAAAATTCCGCGAATTGGGGAAAACTCTTTGTGTACAATTTTTCGTAGTAATATTTGAAATAGTTATGGTTCATATTTTATGTTTTTAAATGTAAGTCTTTCCTAGTTCTTCTTCTTTTTTTTTTGGATCACCCGAAGTATCTGACGTGACGCTACATGAAGTTGCGTTACTAAGGCCCAATTTCAGATGGCAAATAGAGATTGTTGATTAACCTCAAAAATTCATTTTCAGATGAATATTGGCTATTTAAAAATGAGATATGCAACCCTGTGTTTGTACCAAACAACAAACAGAAAGGTTGTTTTATCAAGCTTGCCAAAGAACAATCAGCAGTTCAGTACAAAATGTAAACAAACAAACAAATGCAACAACATTTCAAGGAGCAAGCAACAGTGTTGCCACTTGTATAAAAGCTGCTTTGAAACCCATTGAAAGTTAAATGGCATTTAAATAACAATTCAAAATTAAACTTAAGTGCTGTTTAAATATTCATTTGAAATTGGCCCTAAAATTTCCATTGAAAAGGTTCTTAACGCATATATTTTTTATTTTGTCTTCAGAGCCATCTAATAATAATAATAGATTGGGCTTACACATATGTTAGTGTTTGGCCGAGCTTCTCCTCCGATTTGTGGCGTGCGCCTTGATGTTGTCACACAAAGCGGAGGGACCTACAGTTTTACGCCGACTCCGAACGGCGATTGTATTTTTATGAGAAGCTGTTTTTCATGGCAGAAATACACTCGGAGGTTTGCCATTGCCTGGCGAGGGACGACCGCAGGGTTTGAACCCCGGTGCTGCGGAGTGGAAGCGCGCACTACTTACCACTATACCACTGCGCCATCTAGCGGTCCCATTTATTGCAAATCTCTGCCTTACATTGTCTCAAAATATCTGGTACTATAATGAATCTGTTTATTATATTGTTTGACCTTTTATCCGAGAGTTTCAGTTCAAAATGAAAACCTAGAATAAGTCGCGCAACTATCTTTTAATGATCTTAAAACGAGATGGTCGGCGCGAGTTGTTCTCTGCATCAATTCGAAGTAAGTGGAACTTGTTCGCTCACGAGACGATACAAGACACCGCAACTGGCTCCGCCTAAACTAAACGAACAACTCTTAAATTTACGAATAAAGAAAAATTCCTAGGTTCATTCTCGACAAAAACTGAGCTGGAAGGAGTATATAGTCTAGCGTTATGAGGAGGCGTCTGTGGCCTTATATTCGTGCAAGAGGGCAATTGGTAAGAAATGGGGGTTGAGCCGGAGTATATGTAGGCAGCGGTGGTTAAACCGATTCTCCTTTATGGAATTATAGTATGGCGGCCGGCCTTGAGCAAGGCCTCAGGTCTTAATCTACTCAGAAAACTAAAGCGGACTGGTATGATCTGCATTAGTTGGGCAATCCGGACAACGCCAAATTATGCTTTAAATCAGGTACGCCCAACGCTGGCAGAACTCCATAAGCAAGTGCCCTGCCTGGCAGAATTCTATAGGCAAGTGCCCTGCGCTGAGCACGGCTGGTTTAAATGTCTTTTTGGATCTTATGCCACTATATTTAGTGGGTCGGCATATGGCATCTCTTGCTGTACTTCGGCTAAGAGAGATAGGGCAATGGGAATCGGGATTCCTGGGTCACTCCTACATTCTGGAAAAATATAGATTTCTCCCGGGCTATACAGACCGTTGTATTGAACTCTGGTTCCGGATAGAAACTTCGTCATTAAAAGCCCACGCAGGGAGGAATGGGCAGAAAACTACTATACTCCACCCGGTAGGGGGTTCTTCTCCCGCAACCCTTCGCTGGGCAATTCATTTCGACTACCGGACTACTGTAGTGTCTTCCAAGCTGAGGTCTCAGCTATAATGGAGGCTATAAACTGGCAGCAATTAAAGCTGTGAGTTCCGTTACAATTAAATAAAAAATTGACTTCGGCAAGAGACCGCTAAGCAGAGCAGTCTAAACCGCATTTGAATTCCCGGTAATAGGAACATAGACGGTAACTGTATGGCGGACGAACTAGCGAGGAAGGTATGACCAAGTCGATTCTTCCGTTCAAAGAACGCATTGGTATGCGCTTTGCCACTTCCAAGTTGAAAGAGAATTTCTAGGCAAACTTGGCACATTGGTGCTCTAACAGGTCAATGCCTTATAGTTAAATACGCAGAACGGCTCGAAGTGCCTTACCATAGATGCTGCAGAAGTTGCAAAAGCTACGAGGAGTGGAGAACTGTCTCACGTTCACTGTAACTGCCCTGCATTAACGAGAAGCTGCGCTTTCTGGGGTTTCCTTTCTTTAGTGACCTTGACAAATTGGGACGTTTAAACCCTAGATACCTGACGAGTTTCGTTAAGGATTCAAAATGATTAAGCAAGGGGGAGTGTAACTCTTAGTCGTGGTGTCACAACGGGCACTTCTACCTAACTATCTTATCTTATCACGAGTATAAAAAAATCTCATCTACAAGTTATAAGTTTCCAACTTTGGTTAAATGTCGAATTTAAAATTTTCCGATAGGAATCCAAACCAAAAATTTCCCGCGTAAACGCTACATCCTCTTTTCGATATTTACAGCTTATTTATTACTAACCGTCCGTTTGGAAGGTAAGCTTGGATTTAATAAAAAAAAAATACTCATTAAAAATTCTAATTGAATTTCAAAAAACTTATATACTTTATAAACATTTAGGCAACACAATAGCAATTGGTAGTGTGTTAAATGGACATAGAAACAGAAAAATAATAGATATACATACATAAGAAGAGGCACTTACATTTATTACTAAACCATAATGTTGTGCCGCATGAAGCGCACTTTTGCATTTGTGGGTGGTGACGTTGTTGTAAGTACATATGTATGTGCAAATAAATATTCATTGGTACATATGTATGTGTGTGCGTGTGCAACATCTATGTATGTAAGTGTATGTTTGTGTTTATGGCTGTAAATACGCTGCATCGCTATCGACACTTTGGTGCAATACACAAATACGCACACGGTTTACATTAAGGCGTAAAACAACAACAAAACGCTTATGGGTGGCAGGTGTGTGCTCTTAGGACATTGCTGAATCGAAACGTTGAGGAGCCGTTGGCTTGCCTCATGGCTCTTGGCTCTAATAATAGTTATTATCGCATTGCATGCTCTCACTCGAGCTCGAATACTGGCTGGTCATCGAATTCGCTTTGCTTATATTGCTAATCTGCATTGTTGCGCTATTGTTGGCGCTGTTGGCGCAACTGCTATTATGCTTGCGTTCTTTAACGCCACTGCGACCACTCTTACCCACCTTTTCGGCTGTTGGCGGTTGCTGATACTGTTGCTGCGGCTGTTGCTGTTGCAATGAGCGATTGCTGCGCGATTTTGTTGGTTTGTGTTGTTGGCTCAAATGTTGTTGTTGCTGCTGGTGTGCACTACCTTTCATCTTGTGCGTTTTGCTGTTACCGCTTTTATTATGCTTCAAACTGTGATGATGATGCTGCGGCGGCGGCGGCTGATTTAGAGCGTGACGCTGACCGCTGCTTTGGTAGTGTTGCTGTTCGTTGCCCAGCTGCTGCTGCTGTTGTTGCTGTTGATAGTGATTTAAAGTGCTGTTGCTGTGATAGAGTACAGCATCGTGCGTAGAGCCATCATTGCTGCCGCTGCCACTACCGCTGGCGCTGCCGCGCCCATAGATTTGTGACTTCGATTGGCTGCGGTACAAATGCAAATTGGCCACGCCATACGGGTCGAGGCTATCGAACGTCTGTAAGTAGTGCGGACTAATTTGATTGTAATCGCCCATGCAGGAGGTGGCAGCACCAGCGCTACGTCGATCCAGTGTGTTGGTGCGCTGGTTGGTGGTTTGCTGCTCGCGCGGCGGCTGCTGATGGCCATGGCCGTGCTTGTAGTGAGTTTGATTGCGTTCGCGATAGTCCAGCGAGTTGAAGTGATGCGGTTGTAGCGCCAACGGCGTCGGCGGCGCTGGCTGGAATGTTGTTAGCGACGGCGATGGCGATGCGGACGATGGCAGAAGAGCGGAATGATGGTGGCCGTGGTGTGCAATGTAGCCCAACGAGGCGGGCGGTTCAAGTGTGAGTGGATGTGGCAGAGGTGCAGGTCTGTCTGTGTGATTGAATTTATGGTGACCAGTGTGGTTGTTTAGATTGGTGTTGTTGTTGTTGGTGGTGGGTTCGTTGTTGCGGCCGCCGCACTTGATTGCCACAAAAGAGGTCGGTAATGGCGGCAGCGGTGGGGTGTTTGCGCGCGCAGCCAACAATGTCGATGGCAAAGATGTTGCTGCCGTTGCTGCTGCTGCTGCTGCTGCTGTATTGGAGTTGCTGCCGGCGCTGCTGTGGTTAGAGCTGTTAGTTGTGCTGCCGCTGCTGCTGCTGTTGTTGCTGTTGTTGTTGGTAGCTGTGGTGGTTATGGTGGTAGTGGTGGATGTGTGGTGACTGGTGTGGTTGTTGTTTTTGGTTAAAGTGGTGGTGGTGGTGCAGGTGCTGGACAGGGTTGCCAGTTCGCGCTACGCACCGTGATGGTTGCCAAATGTGCGCAGCACCGGCACACTCTGCATGCCGTAGCAATTCAACAACAATCCCCGGGTTGGAATGAGTTTTGTAGGCGTGTGCATAAAAGGAATTTGTTTTTGTAAAAAATTTCATAATTCAGTATTTTTTTTTTGAACGATTTACTATGTAAGTGATACGATTTTTAGTTTTCAAAATCAATAGCAGTTTGGAGTTTTTTTTTTTGTTTAAGAAAATTTAAATATCCATAATGGTAAATAACATTGTAGAAAAATACAATTGATTTATAGAAAATTGCAAATAAATCAATGTACTTTAAATACGAGTAGTAAATTGTTTAGCTGGTCTACTGTGTTTTTTGTTTTTTTTTTTTGAATCTCGCTTCAATTAAAGCTGTAGTTGTTGTGATTAAAGAAGAGTAGCAGTATTAAGTAGTTCATATTGTGGCAATAGTTGTAATACTTTTATTTGATTTGATAATTATTTTGTGAAGCCAAAAACAAAAATAAAGCAATTAAAAGCGATACAAAAGTGAAGCTTAAGAACTGAAAAGTTATGAGTTACAAAAAAGAACGACGCTGAAAAAAATATTCATATGTAGGTAAATTGTGAGTGACATTGCTTTAAGAAGTGCTTTCGACTGTCGGTTGTTTGCAAAGTGGGTAGATACACTAGACTACTATTCAGTATTGTATTTTCCAAATTCTACAGCAGTGTTAGAATGTTTTGTTTTATAAAATATTACTAAAAATTTAACGACTAGCTACATACTTAATAGAAAAGTTCTAAATACGAATACCATATGTACATCTATAAATATATGTATGTATAACTACATATGTATGTTGATATGTAATAGACAGGGTCGGTCCTCAAACAAACGAGAGGAATTTACTGGGCAATTCTGGAAACTGTCTTTCAACTCAACATAGTATTTTGTAAGGCATTTGTCAGTTCTGGTAACTAACTTGAAAGCCGTTTTCTGCTATTCGAAAGACTAATTGAAAGATATGCTAACGAGGACGTCTTAGCGTTATTCTGTTTGTCTTCCAGCAGTAAGTTTTCTAAAAATTCAATTATATAAAAAAATATAATTTTCTTTTTAAAGCAATAAAAACTAATAATTTAAGGAAAAGTAATTAAATAATTTTCTATAAACTAAAATAAAAAATATAATTTATTTCATAAGAACTAAAAATTTAAGAAAATTTAATTCAAAAAAGAAAAAAATTAAATAAAAAAGAAATAAAATAATTTTCTACAAATTTAATGAAAATAAAACCTACATAAAAAGAAAGTTTAAAAAAAGGAAAAAATTAATCTATAAAAAGAAAGAATACAATAAAGCTTCCAAAAATTTAATGAAATTAAAAAACGTTTTTTTAAAACAATAAAATCCAAAAATTATAAAAGATAGTTGAAAAAAAAAATTATATAATTAAATGAATTAAATAATATAGATATTAAAAATCTAAGAGTTAATTTAAAATAGAAAAAATAAAAAATAAAAATAACGAAACAAAATAAGTTTCGAAAAAGATAAATGAAATGAAATTAAAACAAAACATATATTTTCCTTTTTAAAGTGAAAAAAATAAAATAAGTTAAAAAAAAAAAATCAAATGAAATAAAAAAATGTATTTTTTAAACAATAAAATCTGAAAGATAAAAGAAAAAAATAATAACAATTATTTAAAAGAATGAGATAAGTTCCTAAAAATTAAACTTAATTAAAAAAAAACAAACATTTTTTTAAAGAAAATTAAACTAAAAAAATAAATAAAATTAAATAAATGACAAAACATGAAATAAGTTTCTAAAAATTAAATTAAATTGATCCATTCTTTTTTTTTTAACAATAAAATTTAAAACCTAAATTAAAAAAGAAAAAATGTTTTTTAGTAGAAAAAAGAAAAAAAGTACCTAAAATGTTTTTATTTTTAAAATAAAAAAATCCAAAAATTATTTGAATAAAAATAAATAAAAAAAAGAAAAAAAATCCCGCTGCCCAAGCACTCGAACCTCGGATCTCTCGATAGGCACGGCACTTGGTCATGACGACTGTTGGAGCAGCGCGAGCATACGGGTACATCTCCATTTGGAATATGCTCAAGTGCTTTCTGTCCAAAGAGCTTTTCACCATCAAAGTTGGCAAGGGACCATTTTTTTTCAAGATTTTCGTTCCAGAATAAAAGAAATCTTTTAAACTATGTTGCCTCCTGTCTTTCAATTGTCTTACAAAACACTTGCCTACTATCTTAGCCAGAATTGCCCTGTTAGTTTCATACAAGTTTTCGTCATTGCCACATCCTAAAAAAGCGAAAATAGAGTTCTCTTCATACCATCTCCATTTATGCACTAATTTTAGGATGTGCGAAAATTGAGTTTTCTTCGCAACTACTTCATTTATGCGCCAATTTTACGATGCGATGTTGTTGAAATTTATGATATTTTTCATAGCTAACCCTATCTTTAAAAAATGGAAAAATTCATCACTCAGGGACGAAAATTTGTATGACGCTAAAAGCTTTTCCAAGTAAGCTTTCCAGCTATGGGATATTCGCAAACATTTTCCATGACAAAGTCTATATTAGGTATACTTTTGATAATCGATAGGCTACGTATTTGTATGTGTTATGTAAGTGACGATAGTGTTCCTAAAGAAGCTACAATTCTACTTTAGATACATACATATGGAAATGTATACTACATAAATTATTATATTAAACTATGGATTTGAAAGTGTTACCAAGTTATCTGTACGTCTGCATATAAGTACGCACAAGTTTAGAACAATTCTTTATTATGCCACCAATTTATAGCATCTTCAAGTAGTTTTTAGAAAAGTTCAATGTTGCCACTTAAAAAATATTGTTTATATCAAATTACTTTTTGATGTGTAAATATCTTATCTCTCGGTATGGGTAAAATTTGCGGTAACCCAGCAGTAAATCCGTAATTGCTTCTTGTATGTAGAGATGAATATTCCTGAACTAGTTCAGGGCTATTTCAGGACAATTTTGCGTATAGTTCAGGATCATTAAGTGGTAGTTTTAAGCTAAACCGCAGCTTTTTAAGCCAGCAAAATTTTTATTTTTTTTAAACATATCAGTGGTTGGTCTCTGTAACAACCAATTCGAGTTTTTCTACTCTGTAATAATGCCCTTCAAGTGCCCTGGAATGGATGGCATTATTCCTGCACAACTACAAAGCGTTGGAGAGAGGTGTCACGAAGATGCTCACTCACATTTACGTTAGCTAACTACGAAGACTGGGAGTATATCCCGAGAACTTGAAGAGCTGTGATGGTAAAGTTTACTTCCAAGGACGGAAGAAGCTCTGATGGGGTTTCTGCAAAATTTTAGACCCAACAGCATCTCTTCCTTTCTATTGAAGATCCTTCAGAGATTGCTTGAACTGTGTACATATAAGATGTGGGATTCTTTGGGAGAAATTGAGTCCTTTTCAGTATGCTTTTCTGATGAGTTGAGCAGTGGAATCCGCCTTGCATATAAAAGTCAGAGTCAAAGAGGAGTTATTTAACAATAAACTTCTCATAGTTGGCGCCTTTCTCGATTATCGAGAGGCATTTAATAATAGTAAAAATCCTGATCAAGCTCGTTGTCGGGAAAAGCTTAGTTAAGCTTATTTCCCACATGTTCCACATGAGTGCTGTCGTAGCGAAGTGCGGTATTGCCATTGTCCAGCGAAGGGTGAGAAGAGGTACCCCGCAAAGAAACGTGTATTACAGAGCAAAAGGGTAAATATCTACGCTAATCGATAAACGCTAATAAAGTTTTCAGAATCTTTATCTCCCGATCGCCTTGGATTAATTCCATTTAAGCTTGATCTAAGCCACAGGATACAGTGACATTGCAGGGAACCGAATTGCTGATTAATTGCCTAGGCAGGGTACCCTTGAAATCCTCTCGCCTCGCCATCTAGGAGTTCTTTCTGTTCTTACAGTAAGCTCCGCAAAAGTTGATTGAAAACTTCGGCCTACAAAGGTGGGCCAATCCACGTCAAATCGGCTACAATTTCTGATTTAGAAGAATTTTGGTCATAACTTCTCTTTATCTTAAACAAAAATGATTGTTTTCCGAAAGTTGAGGAAAATTTTTAATTTCATAATTTCCGGGATTTGCAAATTATTTTTCAAATATCTAAAAAATTATTATAGCTACAAAGATGATTCTGATCTCGTTTTGAAGGCGATACTTAGGACTATAGAGAAAAAAAATATATAAAACAAAAATCGTAAAATAAAAAAAGTACAAAATTGTGAAACTAAAAAACCGTATAAGCAAAAACCTATAAAAATGATTGGCATTTCTTTTTAATGCAATACCCCCAACTGATATAAAAAGACCCCTGAACTATTTAAGAATTGTTTTCTTCAAACTTTGAAAATTTTTGATTTCCAAATTTTAAATAAACTTATTTTAAATAATTTAAATTTATTTTTAATTTATAGTTTGCCAAAAGAATTTTCTATTTCAAAGAACAACAATTAATATTAAAAAAAAAAA